AACTTTGGAGCTACGCATCTGACGAATCTAACCATGTAAAAATATTGGCTCTAGCATCTCTAGAAAAACCTGTGATAGACTTGCAAAATTAAGTTTCGGTTTTTGAGCATGGGTCTTGGATAATTATTTTGTGAGCCGATGGTTTGTTCTAAGAATGGTTTAAAACCAGTTTCTTATACAGTTTTCTATGATCTATCAGAAAAACTAAGTCAGAAGATTCCATCTCGTAACATATTTAAAATAAAGAGGAATCTAAGAAAAGTTGCCAAATTGGCTGTTTTCGACGCCTTCCGAGTTTTTTCAAATTTTCAACCGAAAAAAAGGGTTGAGGAAATTCAAGGCACACATATTCTTGACCGCCTTCAAATTCTCTATCGAATGGTGTATGGTATGTAAAAAAATAATTTTTTTACTGCAACTTTGATTTCCGTGCATCTTACAAAGTATTCATTAAAATGTTTAAATTCAATAGATCTGATTTATTTTTTATAAAATGATAGATAATGAAAAATAACAAGTTTACCTAATATGTAATAGAGTATTTTGTGAGCTGCTTGATCAAACAGAATCGGTGATGATGAAGTTGACATGATACTTTCACTGTAGCGAGATCTGCGAGAAAATAAACTCACGAGCGAATATTTAAATAAGTCAATAAGAAACCAGGAGAAGCTTACGTAGGATAACGAAAACCATTCATTCGTCTTGATTCGATTTTTTGTGTTCCACGTAACTCTTCATTATTTAAATCCGACGATGTTGGATTAACATAGGATGCAAACGTTGAAACTATCTGGCCAAATAGAAGATAATAAGCGGCATAACAGATACCATGCATAATTGATGCACCAACAGCTGAGATAAGTAATATGCGATCTAAATGATCAGCATAACGAAACAAATTATAGACACTTATTGTTTCTCTTTTGTTTATTTGTTTTTTTTCGTTGTTATCAAATTTTGTGTACTTATTACTACTAAATTGACTGCAATAACTAATCAGAGGCTTGAGTATTCTTAAATGACAAGAGGAAAACCCTTATTTACTGCTAAAACAAAACAAGAGTTTACTTACCTATACAATGGTGATAATTTTTGTTGTTCGCGATCTTTTATCGACCCATAATTGTGACTTTTATTATTAATTAAACTATTAGAATCCTGATCACCAGTTTTATGCCTTATATTCATTTAAATGGAAAAACTTCAAATAATTCCGAATTATTTGAAGAGATAGATATTTACAGTCTAAGGCTTAGACTGTAAATATCTATCGTTGTTCTATTTCATCTTCGTCATTTTCTATATGAACAATAACGGGGTTATACATTTTGTTCCCGATTTTCGTTTCTTTTCTCTCTCTCTAATTGTGTTTACCTATTTTGTTATTATATACATTAGGCCTCTAGCAATCAGATAGAGATAAGATACTCATAGATCAGTATTGACATATCAAATAGACCTCTTAGTCCGAAATAGACTTCTTAGTTTCAACGTGGAATTCAATAATCCGATTTTCTCTGTGCAGAAAACTGTTTACGGTTCAAATTTTATGTCAAAATGTAGGCCACACTCGAATGTATTTAGACAGCAGGTTTTAGTTTCTGGCCTATTCTTTTTCTTAGAATATTTCTTAAAAACCGGCTTTTCAGAAATCCCAAACCGTGAAGATCTTCTTGAAACAACCAGGTTATACATTTTGTTCTCGATTTTTCTTTCTTCTCTCCCTCCCTCTCTCTCTCTCTCTCTTTCTCTAGTTGTGTTTATCTATTTTGTTATTATATACATTAGGCCTCTAGCAATCAGATAGAGATAAGATACTCATATATAATTATGGACATATCAATAGATGTATATATCATAGATATCTCTGTCTGAATGCTAGATACCTATTATATATGTGTATACCCCATTGGAACTTTTAAATACTTTCGAATTAATGCGCATTAATTTGAAGTATATTTTTCTATTTTTTTTTTCATTTATTCAAAGA